ATTTATTAATTATAGATTAATTATAGAGTGAGCAGTATTAAATAATTTTATAAAAAATATTTATATATATGAGGTAATACACAAATGGCATCATAAATAATTAAGTCAATAATTAAAAATAAGTCAATGTGTAAATTTATTTAATTATATAACTGCATTAACGTTATACATTTTTATAATTAATTTAAGTTTTTTAAATTTCAGGTCAAACTTATTATATTTATCAAACATTAAAAAATTTATAAAAATTATTTATACAACATAAATATGATAAAAAAAACAAGAAAAAATAATGATACTAAAAATAAACTTAATAAAGTAAAATTAAAATGTCATAAAATTATATGGTCATGTATATTAATTTTAAAATAATGCAGTATATTTATTGAATATAATATTATCTTTAAAACCACTAATGAATTTTAATAATAAAAAAACTCTAAATTCTAAAGTAACGGTTCTCAACTTGAGATACGCGAGATGATTTTAAAGGGTACGTGAAAAAAAATTGAATAACGCAGAAAATGTTGAATTACAATTTGTTTATTTAAACTATTCGTTTCAAAAATATTCATTATATGTTATTAAATATGAAAATTTGTATCGTAAATTAAAATTTGACCGTCAACTTAACGAATAGATATGAAGTATAGAATGTAACATAGAATTTTTTATTATTTTTTATTTAAATATTCTAAAATAGTCACGTGAAAAAATTAAAAAATTAAAATGAGAGGTACGATGTAGAAAAATATTAAGTTTTGGGGTACTGAACGAAAAAAATGTTGAGAATCGCTGCTCCAGACTCTAGAGAAATGGTATTACATTATTATAACTTAATATGTTGGGCTACTTTTGTGTTTTCTATTTTTGTCAACGTATAAGTGAAACTCCTAATAAGATTCTAGTAATGATAGATAATAACATTTTCACGTAATACGTATAAACAATAATTAACTACGTCATTATTCAATAAATCAAAAAAATCAACTAAGTTAGCACTTGAGTTTTACATTTTCTATATGAATATAAAATTAGCTAATAAAATAAAACCAAAAACGGAAACCGAAACATGTAGAAATAAATAAAAATCTATACGTCGATTTTTTTTTTTTTTTTTTGTATGGCTAAATTTTTGTATGGGTTATATTGTCACAATATGTCAGATAACATCTACATGATATTAAATAATGCATATTATAAAATGAACAAATACGATATGATCCAATGACCTTCAATACAGCATTTTAATACAATTATAATTGTGTATTGTATCTCACATCCAAAATGTGTTTAATAAAACACAACAAAATTTGATTTTATTATTTTATAATATTAAATTTATATGAGTTATATACCATGTTATTATTTATCAATTTATGTTTCGCAACAAACTAAAATATATATTAGGTAGGTACGCAGAGACGCAGTGGTACAATATATATATATAACCATATAACCAATACTAGTGTATTATTGTGAAACGTTTTTGAATTAAAATTGAATTCTGATTGTATACATGATTACTTATTCATAGATAAGTACTTTAAAAAACATGTAACTCTTGCGGTTATTTTATCATCATGGACGGAGTAGCCGAGTGGACTAAGCCGCCGATTGTTACGCGCACCGTCGCTGGTTCGAATTCTGGCTACAGGCGGCATTGCTCTCTGAGCAGGCAACTGTCTAGGTGACAAGGCCGCCATCTTCCAACCAGGCATGCAGAAACCTACGGATACCCAACTAAAAATTCTGCCAAATAGGCGTCCGAATTAGGATCTCAGGCCTACTCTCGGACATAAGTGCTATACGCAAAAAAAAAATTTTATTGTCAAGCATAACCTTGTAATTGTACATTGGACTGAAACAGACGAGAAACAAAACATTAATCAATCGAATATATCTATTATATTTTTGCTTGTTGTATATTATATTTTGTATATTAATTATTACTGAAACTATAATTTATTTCTTCATAATTAATTGTGTATAGTATAATATTTACTCATTAATCAATAACTAAATTGACACCATAAATTATGTATAACATTACATTATGATGTAGTTATTACTTATTTATGTGATGAATTTTATAATATTTCAATTTTTAATAGTTTTATAAATTAAATTAGAGTCTTAAAAACGTCTGAAAGGTTCCTTTATAATATACTAAATAATTCCGATTTTCTACGTTTTATGATTATTCGTACTAAATAAAAATATTAAATTATGATCTCAATGGCGGAATTACATTTTAATTGTGTAAGTTAAATTAATATTAAATCAAGTACAATAATAACTTAACATATTATATTCTTAACGGTACGGCCAGTATTACTGATGTGTATTTTGCTTTACATTACTAATTCATTAATTGTGATAGTATATATACGTAAAAAATTTTATAAGCATCAAGTATTTTTGTATTTTTAAAGAGAAAAGATAAAAACTTAATTCATTTTTTATCATAATTATAGAACTAAATTTCAGTTCAAATGTTAACTTGTTTTGTAAATACATCTGCAAATCGAATTTTAACAAATTAAAAATAAATATGGGGGTTTAATATAACCATTAATGTAAAATTTATCGTGTAGAAAAATTTTAATGAAATATTAATGTAAATGTTATACGTACATGTTACAGCAAAGTTGATGTAATTCGCACCAACTGAGACTATACTATATTAAACTATGTTGATAACTTTAAAAACCATGTGATTATTGTACAAATTATATGAATTGTATTGTATGTTCTACTAAAATATTAAACAAAAATTTACATTTCAGAACTTTCTATGACATTTAAATTTCATAATTAGTATTTCTATCATATATTATAAATTAAAAATGTTAACAGAATTTAAAAAAAAGAATTGGTTTGAAGATAACTTGCTTTTTTATTATTATAATTTTTTTTTTTTTTCTACCCTACTAACAATAAAATTACTTATATGACACAAAATTAACATTTTTTTCTAATTTAAATACATGGGTTATTTAAAAAAAAATAAAAAAATAATATGTTTAACATTAAAGGAAGTAAAGTATTACAGTATTTCGGATGCAAGTGCATTTAATTTCATTTTTTATTTATATCACAGAACGTCCGGAAATTAAATTAAACGTTGTGTAAATTATTGTTTAGTACGATATCTAACATTCGTTTATACATAATTTTAACACTGTGACATTACCATTTACATACAGTTTATCAATGCTATTTTATGCATAATTGTGTATTTTACGTATTTATGTTAATTTTAAATAATATTTGGATTCTGTACAACTTATATGATGGAGAAGTTTTTTTTATATACATATAATGAATAGTAATTACTTTATCGTAATAAATATAAAATATGTATGACTTCATATTATATACATAAATAGCGTATTATACTAAGTCTTATAGGAAAATATGTGGCACGGTGAGTCTGCCAAGACATTTTTCAATTAAAATCAATTTCAAACTTATCCAGAAGAATGATTACAAATTCATGATACAGAATATTTATTTGAACATGATAAAAGATATAATCAGGATAATGCATATAACATACGTGGTTTATGATCAAGAATTCCAATATAATATATAATATAAAATATGAAATTAAATGTATTATAGTGAATCTCTTGAAGTAGTATATGTTTATAATAGAAATGTTTTCATGAATATGTTTTACAAGCGAGACTTAAGTATAACAAACCAATACTTTTTTGTACATTACGCCATCACTAACAGCATGTATTATAATAATATTACACTCGTAGGGTCACGGCAACAACACATCTAAACTTTTCTGTTAAAAGTATTATTATCATTGTTAACATTTTTTTTTTTTATTTTTTTTTTTCAGCTAAATCATGTCGTTTGAGCTTTATAAAATGATATCAAGTGACTTTTGTCATTCAATAATTCCTTCACGTTACCTATTTTACAGACTTATCGTATAATCGCCTCATTCGCCTCCATATAGCGTGCTCATAGCTATTATTTTTTTTCGATCGAATAAGTTATTTTAATATCTATCCATCCTATGACTTTTATACGCGAATCATTAAATTTAGTGACCAGGGTTTAGAATAAAATATATCGATCTCATCAGTTACGATAAAATTACGTAGATAAGTTCATGCAAAGGGCCGCTGAATTGAGATGTAATCATGATTCGAACCGTCATAGCCGTACGTAGAATCTAGACAATACTGTGGTGCATATATTTTTTATACCATTTGCGATTACTATTTTTTTTTTTAATACAAGTAGTTCATTTACGGACCGTAATTATGTAAAATATAATCCATGAGAATATTTTTAAAATAATAAACATTATTTTAGTAATATCCAATGTATTTTTTGTACAATACAAAATACAATAATAATAATTGTTATGCATTCGAGTATCGTATGATCTGTATTAAACCTAATTACACTCATCAGAGAATTCGATTTACAAATATCTCAAATTATATTTATATAAGAAACGAAATTATTTAACTCTATGACATTTCAAATATTTTTCAAATTGTATTGATTGATTATGGCTATGTTACACACACACACACACACACACACATACACACACACACACACTATTTATAGGATTATAGATACAAATTAGAAGAAAGATCTGAACTGATCCATTTATTTGAAACGTTTATCATACAAATATTTTCCTCATTTATTATTGATTTGGTTTCAAACTTTGAGATTAGTATTAGGTAAAAATTGGATCTAGTTTTTTAGAGAGATCAAAGTTAAAAACGTCCATTTTAAATAATCGAGGAAAACAAAAAATAAATAAATAAGGAAATAAAACAAGAATTTTTTTGGCAAATCTTGTTTTCAAAAATTAGATTACTTATACAAATATAGTTTTTAACACGACATGGTTGGGCGGATCTAAGAGATATGACGAGATATAATTGAATACAAATTGTATCAACAATTTTCAAAATATTCAAAATTCTTCTATTGTGTAAAGACAACAATTTTACCTTGTTCGTGGTGCTCGTGTTGGCTCCGGCGTGCACTAGCCTCCGCACCACGTGAGTGTGACCTGCGATCGCCGCGTGATGCAGAGCTGTCTGATGGTCCGTATCGAATGCATCCAGTCCGACGTCCTCAATGGTGTCCAACAGGAAGTTTACCACTGACAGACGGTTGTTTCTTGCCGCACACATGAGCAACGTGTATTGCTTCTAAGGAAAAAATTTTGAAATCAAATATTTTAAAAAGTTTCTCAAATATCAATGCCCAAAATTCAAACTTCAGATTTTAAAAATAAATTATTGTTAAAATTTAAGAGCAAAGTGTAAAAAAAATATTTATATTTTATAGATTGTTGTATTATATATGCATTCTATATTATGCATCACTATGTCGGATTTATGTATCAACCAAGGTTACATTATCGCGCACCACGATGTCTACGAATACCAGAGTAATGGGTGATGTAATCTGGGTCTGGTTTTAATTTATGCTCAATCGCCATTAACTCAATCGACTATTTTGTAAATCTAATAATTTATTATCTAATCTTATAATAATTCCAAGCACAAACTGAATTATGATTAATATATCTTGTGAGTAAATATGAGCAGCACCTCGGTGCCTGGTGGACGTGTAAAATTAACCTGTCGATGTATATTATTGTATAATGTAGGCGTGGTATATTAAAAATTTTAAATGTTGTAAACATCAAATTAAATTATAATAGTAATAATAAACATATAGTCAACAAATTATTTTTGGTTAGTTATTTTATAAACATTTATTTATAGTTATGTAGGGTTAAAGTTGTACGAGTATATATATATATACATTATATACATATGAGTTATATTTATAAATAGATCACTTGACTGGTTTAAAAAATCAGTTTAATTCAAATTTATTAATAAATTTGATATTTTAGGTGAGAAAGTTTATAATTTGGGAGAATAATTATTAATGTACCATATACAACTTGGTTATTATAAAATAATAAGCACACAACAACTGTGCGCATTTAATGAGAAAAACAAATTTATTATATATGATGCTAAAGTATGTAATGAAACCTTACTACCTCAAAATTTGTACTTACTTAATTTCATTTTATTCTTGAATACATTTTTTGATGTATAATAGATTGATTAAAGATTAGCATGCAAAATTCTACAAATATTAACATTTCTATATGAATGTATACAAATCCAACAATTATCCGCATGAGTGTATTGTTTATGAATGAAATTTAAATTAAACACTTCTGGAAACATTGACTGTACGTTGTTAATAATTAATCGTAGTTTTGTGTGATAAATTAAATACCTATACCTACGTATCTACGAAGGTGGGTCGACGATTCGACTTTATGTAAGTATAGACCATTATCAGTGCTGCTTTAATGGTTTTTACTCAAGTGATGTCACATCATTTGTGGTTTTAAACTTAGAATTATATACGTGTAATAGACAACAGAAAAAGAAAACTGAAGTCGTAAACATAATTTTCCTTATAAACATACTACGTAGAATCGTGTTCTAATATAAAAGACGGACATAAATTAAAGGTCACTGTCTTAATGTCTGTAGTATCTATTTACCTCACTATATAAAAATGTTAATTATGCAACTTCTAACTTTAAGTGGAATTTATGATGATTATGCAGTGGCCACTATTTCTTATTTACATACTAGTAGTGTGAATCAACCGCGTTTTTAAACATTACAACAATAATACCATGTACCATGTTGATATCATTATTACGCAACGTAGTGGAAAGAAAAAAAATTGCAGCATTGTATTATATATGACATATTTTTATATTTTAATATGTATTATAAAAACTATAACATTTCGGCTTTACGAGTTCGTCATCAGAACATCACGCGCATGTTCATTTCGTATCCACGAGAATATAAAATAATAATATATGCGTTTGACTTTATTACAGTATTAATATTACATAAATATACGACAATTTACCTTTTTTATTGAAAATGTATAATTTTATCATGGAAACATTGCAAAATTATGTAAGTCTGCATTATGTTCATCGTCTAACATTTTACACCCTGTAAAGTTTTGATGGCTTGTACGGTATTTGGTTAGTTCCATCAATCTATAATGTATTCGTCAAAAACGATACGTTTATAATAATATAGTCTGATATGGATATTTTTCACTCGCGTAAAATTGTTATTATTTCTGTATTAATATAAAAAACTACGATGTATGCGTATGTGAAATACACGCCATAAAAAAATATTTGGTATACTTGCAGAAATATAATACAGAATTATTCACTTGCAAGAAGACTCATCCCACTTGTATCCATAAATAATTATTCAAGTTCTGATTTCTAGGATGTTTACATATCTACTTATAAGGACTATACTTGTTTTTTTTTTTAATGATTATCACCCAATGTTACTATTAAATGTTAAATACCTAACTTTTCAGTTTATTTTTGATATATCTAAATCATTACTTGACTAAGTATTTTTTGAATTATTGATCTTTAAGTGCATCGTTTATAGTGCTTTTATATCAATTATAAAATAGGTGTAGTAATATTTAATCTAGTGCGTTTGAAAAAATAGAAGTTAATATGGCTTTAAGACACTCCTTAAATGACATATAAATTATAAATATTTTAAAATGTTATGGTCTTTAAGTATAATAGAAAAATTCAAAGATTAAAAATGTTGAAAAATATATAGAATAGTATTTAATGAAAATAATTGCAGTGACATTGTTATATCTTTAAATTATCAAATTAAAGTTGTATTCTTCTATTTCTTATAGCTACAACGGAACCTTTTATTATTATTCAGTAGTATTAAGTGAACATAAAGAGTTGTTAGCTAATCGTACATATAATAATATATATTACTGCTGTTTAAAATAAGTACATACGCATTTCGAATTAACACGTTAATTATAAGATATTATTAAGCTTTTGATACATTATTCTCCTTTAAATAGATCATGAAAAATTCAGATCTTTATAACAAATAAAAATATTATTGTAGTATAGTATAGAATAATATAACAAAATAATTTTAAATCGGAGAAGACATTTCACATACATACATCATGAATATAATAATACATAATTAAAATGTGTATATATAAAATTATATTTATATTTTTAAAATTAAAATGTCAACAACAATTTGATTAGCTCCAGTTGTCAATAGTTTTTTTTTCTTTTGAGTAAAACATTAAAAAAAAATGTTTATTATTGATGAATAAATATTATTGTTGACCCTACGAAAAATAAATTTGTTATGCGTCTCAAGTATGAAAGACGGAAATAATTCTTATCCACTTTAGACACGTGAATAAAAAAAATATGAAAATAATACATTTTTTTGCAATGATTTAGTTGACACATTTAAGAAAGAAAAGATTTTACGAACAAAAGAAATATATTTTCATGATGATTTATTTTACTATTAATAATTTAGTAAGTTCAACTAATTTTTAACAGCAACAAATCGTTTATATTAGGTATATAATAAATATTATAATATTATTTCATATTATAAAACTAGCTATTATTAATTTTTATTTATCAATACTAACACACCAAAGTTATATTCAATTAATAAAAAAAAAAAAAAACTGAATATTAAAATCTTTATAAATAACATAAAATCTTTATTATTTTAAGAATTGTATATTCTTTGAAAAAAAATTTCATTTAAATATTTTTAAAATACATCTATATAGTTATTTATACTTACATACTTAAATTTAAGGAAAATATAAATTTAATTTCGTCACAAAAGTTTTCAGTATTTTTTCTAGTTATTATTTTTTTTTTTTTTTTTAAGCATTGGAAATTTTTATTTTTTACTTTCTAAATAGCCATATAGATTTAATTTTTCTATCAGAAAATACAAAAATTGATAATTGAAGTTATTGTTTCAAAATCTAATGACAGCAAAAATTTAAAAAATACACATCATCGAGCTAATACATAGATAGTTCACTTAGAATCTAAAAAAATTCATTAAATCAATAAAAATCGTTTTTTATTGCAGATAGCTTATACATTTATACTATCATATATTACTTAATAATAAATAAATTTTGATAATAACAAACTTTAGGTAGTTAAGCATTTTTGAAAACTTAAGATTAAAATATGAAATGTTTTAAAAAGAGTCGTTGTCATTTTTTTTTTTTATAAAAATAGTATTGATAACATAAAGAAAACTCGTCTGTCATCACTATTAAAATGAAGAGGAGTTTACTTAAATGAATAAAATTAACAAATATTCTAAAGCTTGAAAAGATAATGACACTTGAACCACTTTTAAATTCACATCCACTAAGAATATACATTGACACTCTAAGATAAACATATCAAAGTACCGTTATACTATACTCTTTATTGAGGTTAACTTTCATAAGGAAAAAAACTAAATGATATTTCATTAATATATTAATTATTTTAAATCATTATTATTTTACATGTGTTTTCAAAATATACAATAATACATTTAAAATTGTTAAACTTTTTCTTACATTCTCTTCATACATTATAAGTCTCATAAGTTTCTTCATAACGTTATCCAAAATATAATGAAAAATCGTTCTATAAATAATCAACTCTATTCAAATATAAGCACTCAGCAATACACAAAAATGATGATCTTATCACGTTATTCATTTTCAATTAAAAAATAATCTTAACCAACTGAATTTTAAATTTTAAAATGGAGTATAAAAATTGAACTTGTCCCATAGAATCTTTAAATTATGTTATCGTGACTTCCCTCTAACCAACATCAACAGAAGACTAATAATATCTGAAAAATCATTTCATGATTTTATGATATTGAGAAACATCTAGAATTCTAAATAGATGACTCACATTAAAACAAAAAATAAATAAATAAATACTAAATCATAGTCTTTATCAATTACATTTCTTATTTTACACCAAACCATCACCGATCAAAAATGAAAAAATGTATTAATAAACAAACTATACAAATCTTATCATTGTCTTTTTGTTGAATCAATTTTGAGAAAAATTCACAAACTCTAATAATATAAAAAATAAGTAATCTTTAATAAATATCCCTTAAACTATTAACTAATGATTCATAAGAACCCTTAATGATCAAACTTTATATTATCATTATCGATGAATAAATTTATAAATTTCACAAAAAATTCTATACAAATTTAGAATTCTCTTACATCAATTGTATCTTGTCTCATTCTAATCAATAATAATTGAAATGAGAAATATTTTATTATGATCATTAAACATACTCAATGTTACCGGAAAAAAGAATAAATAAATAACAATAATTTACTTAGACGCCTCGATAGCTTACTATGAGATTATTATTACTTATGTATAAATAGATATTTTCTTTTATTATAAAAAGTTAACATCATTATTTTCTCTGATAACATTAAAAGTAATTTAAATTTTCCATAGAATTTGAATATGTATAATCTTTTATAACATGTTTTCTAAAATCTTATCGTACAGAAAAATTAGGAAATAACCAACACAAAAAATTATGATGCGTCTTTCTTAGTACACATTTGAAAATACATTATTGATACTAAACATTGAACATAGAGTACATTATATTTTTATAATATATCTTTTTTGATCTAATATAGATCAAAAATCGGTATTAAAATAAATTCAACTCTAACAAAATAAGATATACAATTAATTCAATTAAACACATTATTACCATTCTTAATTTTATGAGTGATATAATTTTTATAAATGCAAAAACTTCGAAAGAATTAAATTTACTTTTTTTTAAGTCAAAAAAATCATATTAATATTTTAGATTTTTTAACTGAAATATATTGTAGTTTAATTAACATATTCCTATTACTTTATAATATCTTAATTATTCAGACAAATATTTTAAAATTAACGATATCATAATAATTTTAAATTTATTATTATAAAATCAACATAATTTTACATGAATAGATAATAATTATTGTATGTTTTAACATCAAACTTATGGATTTTTAAAGTATATTTTAGTGAGATTTGAATATTTTACAATTGCATTTTAAACAACAGTTTTTATGTTTGAGACAAAAAAAATAATTACATGAAAATAAATAGGACAGAATATTGCCCCTAATATAGAAATAGCTGAGGATCTTAAATAATATATTTAAAAAGTGTAACATGATTATTAATAATAAAATGATAATCGTGGCTTTAAAATAATATTTAAAAATTATTTAACGGTAAAATATAATTATGTTTTGTTCAATACTTTTTTTTTGCAACTATTATTACAGTGATTAAAAACAAATAAAATGTATATTAAAATATCTGTATCAATTAGATTTTTGGTAAATAGTTAATTAAATTCCAAATATATCACGTATTTTAATTATGAATGAATAACATTTTCACAACGCATTTTTCGAATTTATGTTTTTATAGATTAAAACTCATTTTAATGCAATTTGTTTAAGCATTCACAATATGTCTACGTGTTATAAAAATGCAGGTAAATGCAGATAATAAAAAAAATTTAGTTGACATTTTTCTAAAATAATTTATTTGTTATTTGAATTATTTGGAAGTGAAATATGATGAGAATATCGAGTTTCGGTATAAAATATTATTTTTTATAGCAATGTTAATATATTGGATACAAAAACTATTTCAAGTTGGAATGCGTCAGGATTATGGGCTCTGACTAAAAATTAAATAAAAAAAACATGCTAACTATGCTAAGCCGTGTACTAAAAGGTCAATTCTGAAAATAGCTTGAAACGAAAACCATCTAAATAATAAATAAATAATGGAAGGTAAAAAAGGTAGACACCGGTTGATATTATTAAAATCAAAAGTAATAATTTATAACCTCCTGGTTAAAAAGAAAATTTTAAGGAGAATTTTGTTTGTTATTACGTATTTAGAAGGAAAAAGTTGAATTTTTTAAAACAGTGATACGTATTACGGCCGTGGCTCAATTGAATGCATCTATTTTATGTAGTAAAAATATTATTTCATTCCATAGGTTCTATATGCGAAAGCATTTTAACGTTGACATTTAACTATTTTCATCACTATTGAATCTCACCTTATTTATTGTGTTTACACTCGCTCCGTAGTTGATAAGCATCTGGACAGCATCCGTGTGGCCATGCCAAGCAGCCATTAATATCGGACGCATCCCGTACTAAAACATTTTGAACGGTCAATTTATTTAATTTTACACGTTCAATAAGGTTTTGATGGAAACATTTAGTGTTTATAACATATTAGAGGCAAACACGCACTGCGAAGTCTTCGCAGCAGGGTCATCGCAGTCTAAGGTTTTCATATAATGTAAGATTATACACACATGATCAATTGTTTAAAATTTACCATTAAACAGCAGATATTATATTATTATTATACTTTACTTACAGTAATATTGCACAGCTTTTGTGTACAATTTTAATATACACATTGGATATATGTCAAAAAAAGTTTATAAAAATTGTGTACAGTCATAATTTAAGGGTGCCATTTATCATTTAAAATTCTACATACTGTATATACATAATATTTGGTACAATAAAAATAATTTCTTAATCATTAAATCAAAATTCAAATTATAAAATTTTAAGCTACTGTATTAGTAGGTACATATTTTTAATAAACTAGTTCAGTGATTTCAGTTAATGCACATAATTATAATTATAATTTATTTAAATAGTATCGCGTGTTTTCAACTATTTAATTATATTTTTATCAATAAAAAAAAGTTATACTTAAAATTAGTTAAAATGTTTGATTTTTTTTTTTTTTTAATCAAACTTGCAATTAACTAAAATTAACACTACAAAAATAACAAATTAAGAAATAAATACCATAAATATTTTAGTCTTTATAGTTCATTTTATGATACCAATTAGAAAATGTAATAACTATTTTAATTTTGTACCTTTATAAATTAAAAATAATTTTCAAATGTGCCATCAGAATCAATTAGCGATCAAAATAAATAGTTATAAAATAAATTAAAATATTAATATTTTATAATAGCTATATGATTATATAAATTATTATTTATAATGAAAATTTAAATTTGATGTATTCAAAACATAACTAAATATAAAGTTAATAAGCATAGTTAAAATTTTAATTTATGCACTTAATTTTTGCTTATTATTATTTGTAATAAAATATATCATTTAAAATTTAATTATTATCTACAAATAATTTATATATAAATATATATAATTACTTTGTCTTTGGCTTCAATATCACACTTTGCATTTATAAGCATTTCCATAATTTCAGTATTTCCTCTTGAAGATGCCCAATGAATAGGAGCTCTGCCATACTGGAAAAAAATAAATTATTATTAAACTTAAATACTTATTCAATTATATTAAACAGATAGATTTCTTGTAACAAATTTTAAAAGAAAACATGTTGTTGAATTTTATTACTATACAATATTTTCTTATACTCGTAATTATTATAGTATTTCTATCTACAATTTTACAATGAAATATAATAAGATAATTGAGACATATATAGCGTACAAAATCTCTACCTTCACTTAATTCAATAGCAGCTCTTTCGTTTATCTCAGGTAAAACCTAAAAATCTGACCCAAAAATTTTCTCAACCAATAAAATTCTACAAATGTTTACTGATATTTCCATTCTAAATTGCAATACAATTTCAACTAGTTTAACAGCTTTCAAAACACTTCCCTAAAATTAAGCTTGCGTCTTAAATGGACTTGGTGAATCTGAACATTTAAATAATTTAAAATCATTAAGTGTTTTGACCGAGTAACTTTAGTATTTTTTTTCACTTATTTTTCAAAAATAAAAATTGTTTAAAAAAAAATGTATTAATAATGCTGCATAGACAAATTATATGTAAATCTATAATATTTACCTCACATAATAGTATAATACAAGTAAATAAATTACTTTCACGTTCCATTCAAAAAATTAATTTTCATACAACGTATTCATAATGAATATAATTTACATAATTATATAATATAAAAACAATGTATTGCATTATTGGCTATAATTAGTAGTAATATTTTATTAGTTAATTTTTTTAACGGATCTTATTATTTAAAATAATAATAAAATAAAAGCAAAGAAGAAAATAAAAAATAAAATCATTGCCCATAAACTGAAAACCAGTACATCCATGAAACGGTTTTAAGAATCCAACGCGTCTTTTAAAACCACAAAGGTTTAAGGAAAAATGTCAAATGCTATGAAGTTTACTTTTATTCCAGATTATCCATGATAAGTTAGACACTAAAACCTATAAGGTTGAATTTTTTTATTTTTTTTTTTTTTTAACTCTATTAAACATAAACAGCATGAGAATAAATTCACGATATATAGGTATTTACAATAAAATGAAAACCATTTAATGAACTTTTTCGAATTAATTTAATACCATGGTATAATATATGTAAATATTTAGATGATACAAAAATAAGTTATGATTCAAAACTAAAGTTCGATTATATTGATTATTTAAATTTATATTTTATGAAAAAAAAAATGATACTAAATATATATTTAGTAATAAATTATTGACTCATTATTTATCTAGATAATCTTTTTATCTACTATTAGTTTTTCATTGTTTATAAAATCCATAAATCTGCATTTTTAAGTAAAATTTTGACTAGAAGGATTATAATGTTACAACAACCTACAATTTTAACTTATAGCAATTTTTTCGTTAGTTACCTGCTATTCTAAATAATAATTTACTTTATTAAATTATTTATCTATAGGGGTTATTACTTACTTTGCTTTTTTGAAAAATATATAAAACTCTATATAATTTGATTTTTGCTATTTTATAACATTATAATGAACTAGGTTCTTATTTCAATTATCTATATCCTAATTTTTTGACATATCATTAAATATTAGAAAATAACATTGTTTAATGTATTCTGTTTAATTATACGAATAATTAAAAATAGAATTTTAAAATGGCAATGTTGTCCATAGGTTTAAATATTTATTTTTAATCAACATTTTCTTGTTTTATTAAAATCATAATTAATTTAACCATTTAGAACACAGAGAAATAAAAATAAGTGAATAAACTACAGTCAAACTTGGTTATCTCGAATTTCTTTACCTTGAAATCGTCGATATCTAGAACTTTTCTCCGGTTAGGTTTCCTAGAATTTCTAATTTAAACAATGTGAAAAATCTTGTTTAACTTGAATATTTTCGTGGATATAACTCAAAGTTTTAAGTTTTATTAATATTATAAAATTGTGATATTTCCCTCTTTTACCTATGTTTATGTTCGTTCCTTTTGTCCAATGTACCTATAATTTATCTTGCCCTGGGTCTTCGACATTTAATCCACGACTGAGTTCGGTCCTTAGAGTAATAAAAAAAAACAAAAAACAACGACGTGGACGTTGCCGCCAACGTCTTTATTTCTGCTCCGTTGTCCGTAGTTATGAATAACGTGTTCTCGTGCGCGTCAAAATATTACTCTATTAATTTGCACATGTATCGGCATATTGCTTTATTGGCGCTTGAATATTAATAATCTATTCCAATTCTATTGTACGCTCGTACGTTTGTGCTCAGCTCATCTTCAGTAACACATATAATTATGTGTGTGCGTTTTCTGTATTCACGTGTGTAACGGTCCGGCGATTCCCGTTACCCACATGGTTGATTCCAGTTCAGAAATCATCAACAGCTCAACAAAGAAAAGTAGATCAGCTTCACAACAACGAAGATCATAGTCGAGGTCCAGTTCTCCTCAGGGCAATGTTCCCCATTCTCCCTGATAATATAGATACAGTGAAAATTCTTTATAACTAAACTCTTTACAACGAAAAACTATATTACGTAAACATTGCATAATGAAGGTTGATTTGCTATATAACTCATTAGTCAATTCATTCTCTATAACTTATTAGTCACTCTCAAAAACGAAACAATATTTTATGTTTAGTACTACAACTTACATGTTATCGTATCTATTATTACATATATAAATTATAAACTATTACATTCTTTCATTATCTAATTTTAATATCGTTATTATCGATATTGAATAGGTATATTTATTTTATTATTGACGTAATGTCTAAAATTATACGCATGACCATACTAGTGAGCTAACATTCGATATGGCAAGTAAAAGAAAAACACTGTATGTTAATCAAAAAGTCGCTTTAATACGTGCGATTGAAAAAGGAGGAAAAAGTGATGTCGGGAAACATTTTGGATTCAGCCAATCTACTGTCGCTACTATCTGAAAGAATAAGGATAAAATATTACAGGCTGTATCATATACCCACCTTTCGGTATGATACACATCTATCGAAAGAAAAGAGTACGAAAGAATAGTATGGTTATTCAAACAAATTATACAATCATTGGTCTAAAATACAATTTATTAAAAAGAAAAAAAAAACACTTTAAAAAAAAATGTCCCTGTAGTCCTTCCGTATCTCATCGAACACTTCGACGACCACTGACCGACCAGAACTTCCTGGACTGACTCGGAGTCCCCCTGCACTGTTGTTTAGCGGCGTTATATATTACACATTTTTTTTTGCCTCAGCATGTTTACTTCATAGGCCTAACCTACTTTAATAAAATAATCTTACTTGCTAAAATTTAATCCTCGCTGTATAATTAAAAAATACAAAACAAATAACATTGATAACTATTTACATTATACAACAGTTGAAACAGAATGAAGTTCTTGTAAACAAATAAGAAAACTGAAATTTGAAAACTTGGACCAGGCCATGTTAACGTGGTTCCATAAACAACGTTGTAATAATTTACCTATATCTGGGTCTGTTTTGAAAACTAAAATTGAACATTTTGTTCAACAACTTGGTATTATAGATTTCAAGACCTCGGAAGGATGGCTTGGAAAATTTAAACAATTTCTCAATATTACTTATGGGAAAATAAGTGAAAAAGCACTAAATGTCGACTTGAATGTTACTAACAGCTGATTAATTAATGTGTGGCCAAAATTAAATGAAAAGTACACTCCGGATAATATTTTTAATGCTGATGAGACAGGTATTTTTTACGAAATTACCCCAGATAAAACATTAAAATTCAAAGGGGAAAAATGCGTGGGAATTAAACTTTCTAAAAAACGTATCACTGCGTTTGTAGCAGCCAATATGAGTGGCATTGAAAAAATAAATGGTTATGGTAATAGGCAAATTAAAAAACCCGCGGTTTTTTTAAAATATTAAACGGTTGCCAGTCACTTATAAAGCAAATAAGTCAGCGTGGATGACATCAATATTTTTTGAAGAATAAATAAGAAAATGGGATGTAGAATTAAAGGGGCGAAAAGTTTTGTTACTTGTGGATAATTTTCCTGCTCATCCCAATCTATCTAATCTTATGAACATAGAAATTATATTTTTTCCAGCTAACACATCTAGTATCTTACAGCCGATGGACCAAAGCGTTATAAAAAGTTTAAAAAGCCACTATAGAAAGTAAATATTAATGGAAATTATCGAATCTGATAGCAATGCCCTCTATCAATATGCTTGATGCGGTGAACTTCTTAAGTAAAGCCTGGGAAGAGGTAACAGCAGAAACTATACGGCATTCTTTTCGTCATGCTGGACTTCGAAGTTTTGCTAATGCTGAAGAAGAAATAGAACAGTTTGAGAAAGAAGATGATATATCACTAAGTGAGTAGATTACTCAGTTCAATACTCTATATACTTTTACTCCTGAGGATCTACAACACTATGTAGGAATAGACGAGAACCTAGTTACAACAATATTGTTTACTGATGAAGAAATCCTAAATGCAGTGACAAAAAGCGAAGAGGAGCAAAAGGAAAATGAAGAGGAAGCAAATCCTGACGAAGTCGTAATACCAAATATTCAACAAACACTTGATGCGGCCAAATTATTAGAAAAGTACTTATTGTTTCATGAAGATGATCCAAAGTTATCCCAAAACATGGGATAAATTCATAGAAAAATACAAAAACAATATTAGCAAAATAAAAAAGTTCAAATTAAGATGACAGATTATTTTAAATAAAGTAATAGTTTAAAAATTAAATTATATTTAATATGTATAATAATAATTATTATTTAATATAATACGTATATACTATATATAATATAATGTAAAAATAAGTATGTGTTTAATATATAATATTACATAAATACATACCTTTATACATAAATAATTAAAATTTTGTTTTTTTTAAGCCCTTTTTATTACGAAAACTCTCTATAACGAAAAAAATCTCTTGGTCCCTTCAGATTCATTATAAAGAGTTTTCACTGTATATACACATGCTTATGTATGGTG